TTAGGAGGCAGTATAATCACCTTCCTGGGGGTAAGTGCTGGCCCCAACCCTTAATATCCCTGTGACCTATCTACAAACTTAACCTTTCTGCTTTTTGTCCTCTGCTATAAAGTGGTGATAATAATAAGCATGCCATCTCCAGGGGTTGTGGAGACCATTCAGTGATGTAGCAGATGAAAAGCACTTAGAGATGTACTTGGACAGCACCTAGGAAGTATTCAGCAAACAATGGTTTTATTATTATGAAGCTTTTGCTGTGTGAAAGCCTTGTGCTAAGCAGTTTACATGGGATTATTTAACTAGAGTTTCCCCCAACCCTTTGAAGTAAAATTGTTCTTCTACCCATTTTATGGGTGAGTGAACTGAGTCTTGGAGATATTGACTAATTTGTTTAAATATGTAGAATTAGTGGTGCTATCGTGTTACATTGAGTCTAATATACTCGATGAGTATTTCCCTTCTCTAGTTCAAAAGAAAGCATTGAGAAATTGCTAAGGTGACTGGGCTGAGGAAGATGAGATGTAAATAGTGAGGTTTTGGTTAACCTTTTAAGAAGATCCAGTGGGCAGTTAACATATATCCCAAACATTAATGACTTGATCAGAGATCAGGAACCCTTTTTCTTGTTGGATTACTTTAGGAGAAGGGCTACTGCCAAGCCACTGGGGGCCAGGGAGCTTGCAATGGGGCTGGCAAACAGCTCTTGAGGGCAGAAGCAGAGCTGACTATTCTAATTCAATACTTCTTAACACGGAGGCTGCCTTTGCCATCCACAGCCATTTGTTCCCTTTCTTCACTCTCCATTCTTTTACCTAAAAAGGGTTAAAAGCTGCCCTTTCGGATCACAGCCAGGACTTGACTGAAAAGGCAGAATTCCACCTCTGGGCATCCCAGAAGGGCAGCAGTTGTCCAAAAAAGCTGGCCTTTTGGCGTCTACTGTGTCTGCTTCCTGTATGAATGCCCAAGTCGGGGGCTCCCGGCTGCTGGCTGCCTGACCTTCACCACAGCGCTGACTTCAGATGTTGCTCTGACATGCAGGAAGTCGTGACTCTCAGCCACCTGCAACTCACTCGATGCCCACCCGATGGAATGCTTTGTTCTTGAAATCTGCCGGGAAATCAGGACTTCTGTTATCACTCAGCCAGAGGTGGGGGTGGGGCCCTCAGGCTCACGAGCTGAGATCCCCTGCCCTCTGCACTTCTCCCTGGCATGCACACCAGGATGCTGCCCATCCTCCCGTCCCCGTCCTGGTACTTGGAGTCTTAAAATCGAGGCCTTTGGGGAACATGCGGGCCTTGTATCCTACACACCCAGTCTCCACTGTTTGAGCATCTTCGGTGTTCTTCCATCTTTATTTTCTTGCCAATCCTGGTAGCACTGGGTTTTGTTTTGTTTTTATTATTATTTTTTTAAATTTTTTGTACAAATAAGGACATTGAGGCTTAAGGAGCTAAGTGACTTGCACAAGTCATCCAACTAATCCGTGGAACCCAGTTCTGTCTGCTGGGATCCAGTGTTTTCCCCTCTGTCCCCTCTTTCTTCCTGTTCTTATTACCCCTTTTATCCCCTCTGGTGTGTCCTCATTCCCTGCTGTGTTGGCCAGCAGTGTTTCTTAACCTCTGTTGACATTTGGGGCCAGATAATTGGGGAGCAGGGGCTGTCCTGTGCACTGGAGGATGTTTGGCGGTATCGCTGACTTCTGCCTACTAAATGCCAGTAGCATCACCCTCATGACAACCAAAATGTCTCTGCACATTGCCAAATATCCCCTGAGGGGCAGAATCATCCCTAGCTGAGACCCACTGATGAAGCCTTAAACCTCTTCCCCAGGCCTCCCTATCAAGGGGATCTCTGTGTCAGAGCCTCATTGCATGAAGTTATTCTTTGCTGTTTAATCCAGCCATGGTTCCTTAAAGGAGGCCTGTACTGCAATGAGCCAGTGTTCCTCAGGCTCTGAATGAGAGAAGCTTTCCTCTCTTCTCAGCGCTCAGAACAGTCCAGAAAGCATGGGGCTGGGGCAGCTGAGTCTTCGATGCTTCCCTGGGGAAGAATCCTCTGGCCTGCACTTGCAGAGAGAGCCAGAGAGACGGGAGCTCTGGGCTTGCAATGAGGCCCTCTTGTGAGGTGTGGGGAGATTCTGCACTCCCAGATGGACTCCCTTGCCTTCTGCAGGAAATCCTGCATCTTTTCTAAGACAGCTGGTTCCCTTAGTATGAGGAGGGGGAGGGCCACACCTCAGTTGAGAATCTGGTAGAAATCTGTGGTCCCTTACCCCAGAAACGTACATTTTGCTGATAGCTTTAGAGGTTCATAGGTCCCAAAGGTTGTCCGTCTGTGTGTCCATCCATCCATCCATCAATTTGTTCATTCATCCATCTCAGATTAGGAGTGTGTGCCTTGTGCTCACACTTACCCTGGGGGTTGAAGTGGAGAGAGATGGGTCCAGGAGTCTCTCCTAGCTTTTGGAGGGCTTGGTAGTTTACCCTTTCGTTCTGGGTCTTAATCCCTAGGTCAGACCAAGTAATTGTTATGGGGAGTGAGGGTGAGCATCAGGAAAGTGAAGCTGGGTCAGGTGAAGAGTAAGGAGAGGAGTGGCGATTGGGAGCTAACTCCTTCCCAGTTCCAGCCCAGCCTGAGGGCAGGGCCTAGTCAAGGGGAGGAAGAGGAGAAGAAAGCTGGGGGGAGAGATGAGCAAGGAGCCTGGCCCCCTCCTTCCCCAGCTGCAAGCAGCCCAGCCAGCGGGCTAGATGAATGCTGGGAGGGGGAAGTGACCCTGGCAGAACCCTTTGTTCCAGCTGAGGCTGGAGCAGGGGCACTGAGCCATTCACACGCCATCCCAGGGCATCCTGCTGGGCACGCTGGGGAGGGGGCACAGCAGCCGGTCATGGGACTTGGCCAGGCAGATAGCTTGATGCTCAATAGGAAAGCCCAGCTGCGTGCTACGGAGGCTGGGGGAGGGGCTGTGTCTGCTGGCCTTCCTCTAGGCCATGGCCCTGATTGGGTTGAGTTACTCTGCCCTGAGGTGGCCAGGTCTTCTCCGCCTCCGTCCCCACTTCTCTTGGTCACCCTCCTCAAAACTAAGGTCTGACCACCTGCGCCTGGTACCTGCTGGACTCCTCAGCTAGTGCTACTGGTGTGGGGATTTCTCTGCTGCTTGAAAGAACCTTTACAATCTGCCAGGCATGAGGGTTTTTTTTTTTCTTTTGCTAAAGAGAATATCTATTTCCATAAATACTTTCTGAGGATCCAGTTTTACAGTTGCCTATTAATGTCAGCAAAAGAATTCCCCCCAAATTCTGCAGTGCCTTGATAATGTGGGTCCCAGTCATAACTGACAGACTGCTTCCCAAAGCCACCTTTCACTGGATGATCCTGGGAGGGCACGTCTTTTGAACTTATGGGGATCTGTTTCTTCCAGAGGTATTGATTTAGTAACTTTGTCACTTTAAACAACTAAAATATGACTATTAAAAGGAAAGACCTTAAATGCCTTGAAGATGATAAAAGGATAGCCCTCATCTTCACTTGGTCTCAATAAAAACCCTCCTTTGCCTTTCCTACTGGAAGTGTTCTAGAAGAATTGGATACTGGGGTCAAAGGGCAGTGGGGCTCTTCAGTCCATGAGCCCTGCCCATTTCAGGCCATCTCCAGGTAGCTGCAGGCTCTCAGTGCGAGCCATTGGAATTCTCACTGAGGCCAGGTTGTTTTAGGATTGCTTTTCTGTAGCATAACTTTGGAGTGCTCTTAAAATCTTGAGTCTTTAAATTATACCCACTGGGAAGTGAAGGTTACACTATAATCACTTCACATGTACCCTTCAGTAGGTTCTGCTTAATTTTTATTTCATTTTTTGAGAGTTGAATGCCAGACTTTCCTTTAGAAGTGTCCAGTGTCCCGTGAAAGCAGACTCCCCATGCCTTCCATGACTTTGTTGGGTGCAGAGATATCTCCTGCCACTGACTGGGAACCTGCTTGAGCACAGGATGCTGACTGCCTCCCTGGGCTGGCTGAGGGTTTCATGTGGGTTCTTTTGGTCGTGGAGATGATCATTTGACCTTGTGTGACTGTTGGGCATGGTTGTGTTTCCTGTTTCAGTCTGTTCTAGTTCCTTACACCTGATTATCCCCCATAATGAGTCTTAGCAGACACCAGATTCAGTCTCTCTCATCCCATTTAGAAGCCATGTGTGCGTGTTGATACCAGCTGTTGCATTTAATTTTTAACCTGGGCTCACATTGCATTGTATTTTTATGATCTTACATGAAGAGACTCTGTACTGTGAGTAAAATTTACTCTCTCATAATGTGTGACTGTGGGTCTGTGTTAAAATGTCATCTATATTCATGCAAAAAATGACTGGGAATGTTTGCTTTCTTTACCCAACTTAGTGAGCTTTGCTTTCAGATCATCTTTTGTTCAAATAGATTCAAGTCAATCCTATGATGGAGTAGTTTATTACAATAAATGTAATGAATATGTCTACTAACAATAAAAAAAGAGCAAGTTCTGACCGTGGGACTGGCCGGCTGCTTCCTGCTCCCTCTGTGACTTCTTTAACCTAATGAGGCGCCACTATTTAAACTCCACTATTATTCTCACCCTCCCTGGTCAGCGTGCCAGGGTCTATTCTTGGATAGAGGCAAAAGCATTCATATCTCAATCTAGTTTTAAAGAGGCATATAGAGACCTATCAACTTCACCTGTCTGTTCTCAGCCTTGCTTTTTCCAAGAATGTCAACCTCTAGGTAGCACCATTTGTCTCTGGGCCTCCAGAGGTGCTGTGCGAAAAAGCCCTGTCATGGGACCCGGTCACCTGGGCTGTCTGTGGGCCCCAAACCAGAGGGTATCTTTTGGACCATTTAATCCCTGGATGGGGTTGGGAGGCACAATCAGATCCTTTGCATCTCCTTTGCAGTGTCACCGTGGCTCCCTGGGTGACAGTGACCAGCCATAGGCTTTGAAGAGCAGGAACTGAGTCTCCCTCTTTCTCCTCTGCCCAGGTCTGGCCAGCAGCCCTGAATGTGCTTGTGGTAGAAGCCACTTTACCTGTGCAGTGAGTGCCCTCGGCGAGTGCACCTGCATTCCTGCCCAGTGGCAGTGTGATGGAGACAATGACTGTGGGGACCACAGCGACGAGGATGGATGTAGTAAGTGCTGCCCCTGCTGTGGTTGGAGGTGGTGGAAAAGGGACCTGGAAGTGGGACCAAGGACAAGACTGATGAGTGTTCAGTGCATCTACTGCTTTGGACCAGGAGAGTTAGACTCTTGCTAGAGTGACAGGTATTGACCGAGCAGAGGTTTCTTCACAATATATATGCCTTCAGTTGTCCCATATTTGGGTGGTTCATGCCTATATGCTCAATAAAACAAACTTGAAACCAGTATACAAGAAAATGTTCTTAAAACCATAAGTAGTCTCTTTAAATAGATCTCACTATATTTATATGATTTGTATATGTGTTCTGCAAATTTGTGCATTTAAAAATTTATGCACTGGGCTGGGGTTTTGGCTCAGTGTAGAGTACTTGTCTAGCATGTGGGAGGCACTGGGTTCAATTCTCAGCACTGCATATAAGTAAATGAATAAAACAAAGGTTCATCAACATCTAAAACACTATTTTTTTAAAAAAGGTACACGTTATACATGGATATGGGTTATTTCTACATTTCTTGTTCTGGTGCTCTGTATAGTCACATCTTTTTTAAAATAACATTATAAGAAATCTTATCCTCTATTTAAATTTCCCTGTTCCCCTGGCATAGTAACATATGGACGATGGCCAGGGTGTCCTGTCTTGGATATATAAAAAGATCACTGCTAAGCCAGTTTTCTGGATTCAGGGATAAAATCTCTGACCTGCAGCCTCTATGTCTGGGGGTGGCTAATTGGCCTAACGAGAATGAGCCTACAACCCAGACATCATTAACCCTAACCATTTTAGCTAATTGTGGTAATGATAAATGCTTCACTTTCATAGAGCACTTTCATATGCATTATCTCAAAAGACCTCTATGAGCTGGGTGTAATTATCCCCATTGTACCATCGAAGAAACTACAGCTCAGAGAAGGTAAATGACCTGCTCGGTGTTATAAATAATGAACTCTAGAACTGGAAATTGAGCCCAGATGTGTCAATCATCATTTCATAAGAGTAAAAGACTTGCCGTGTTTTTCTTGCTGCTTTCTTAGTGGCTTTGAGTTCTCTGGGTTCTTCTGCTTCTACCCTGTGGGTCTCTCATCAGGCTACTCTGTCTTCCCAGCTGCTTCACTTCCCCATCAGTTAGAGGCAGGGGTGGGAGTCCACAGGGCAGGACTACAGGACAGGGGATTTGGAACAAGGGTATTGGGAAAGGATTTCTGGCTCATTTTAGCCTGCCTGCCTGACTCATTTTTCCATTCTTCTCCTGGGACTCAGTGCTGCCCACCTGTTCCCCTTTGGATTTCCACTGTGACAATGGCAAGTGCATCCGCCGCTCCTGGGTGTGCGATGGGGACAATGACTGTGAGGATGACTCGGATGAACAGGACTGTCGTGAGTATTGGAGGGGACCAGACTCCACCGGGCTCTGTTGGGAAAGGATTTTTAATCAGAAAACGATGCCCCAGGCCCACATGAACTCTTGGGTTTTCAGCAGTTTGTCCCGTCCTTTGACCTCCTTCTCTTGGTCAGATAAGCCCCTGAGAGGCAGCCACCTCCTCCTGAGCCCCAGGGGCAGCTCCAGGCACCTCACCCCACTGCCTGCAGCAGCCTGACTGCTCTGTGCCCACAGCCCCCCGAGAGTGCGAGGAGGATGAGTTCCCCTGCCAGAATGGCTACTGTATCCGGAGCCTGTGGCACTGCGATGGTGACAATGACTGTGGTGACAACAGCGATGAGCAGTGTGGTGAGTGGTGGGCTCTCCGGGGAAGCAGGCAGGGTTGGGGGGCTGGAGAGGATTCTGACCAAGGGAGGAGATAGCAGCAAAGGCCCCAATACTGCTTCAGGGATCTTGGAGGAATGCAGGAGGGGGGAAGAGTCCAAGCTCCCAGGAATCGTGGCCCAGGAACCTGAGGCCAGGCTCTCCTGGCCTTGATGTCCTCCAGAGTCTGCACTGAATCTGTGGGTTCTTCCAGGGGCTTCATCAGACACCCTCCTCTAGGGCCAGCGAGATTTGAGGGTAAGGGAGGATGGTAAGAGGGTGCCTGTGGGACTCTGCCTGTTGGCATGACCGTCTCCTCGTATTCCCCAGACATGCGCAAGTGCTCCGACAAGGAATTCCGCTGCAGTGACGGGAGCTGCATTGCCGAGCACTGGTACTGTGACGGTGACACGGATTGCAAAGATGGCTCGGACGAGGAAAGCTGTCGTGAGTGGCCCCAGACCTAAGGCCACTGGGCTGGGCAAGGGAGAAGGCTCTGTCCCCGGGGCTCAGGGCAGGCCGAGGAGTGCACTGCAGTGGGCAGGTGGGGGATGCTCAGGAATCAGCTCCTGGGCTTACCTGGGGAGGTGCAGGTGCGCCAGGTGGTCCACCTGAATATGGCAGTCTCTAGGGTCATCCCAAATGAACCCCGGTCGTATCTCATTCAGGAAGTCACCCTGCCTGAGCACCTTGCCCTTTGAGGGGTAGGGACCCTTCTCCTCCGTGAGAGCCTGAGTGTTTGCCCCTGCTCCCTGCCCTCCTTCCAGCCTCAGCAGTGCCAGCGCCCCCCTGCAACCTGGAGGAGTTCCAGTGTGCCTACGGCCGCTGTATCCTGGATATCTACCACTGTGACGGCGACGATGACTGCGGGGACTGGTCAGACGAGTCTGACTGCTGTGAGTGCTCTGGCCTGTGGGGAGGAGGGGAAGCCAGGCTGGAAGGAACTCCTCCAGGGGCAAGGCACAGGTGCCAGTGGGGGCAGGTGCTCAGGACGGGAGTTTCTGGATTCTCTGGTCTCTAGGGCAGAGTTAGAGGACTGGGGTGCTGGGAGGGGCAGGAGTTGAGCTTTCTGGTCTACCTTGGGACACTGTGTGCACAGACTAGCTAGAGACAGAAGATGTTTGTTTCCCCAGCCTCCCACCAGCCCTGCCGCTCTGGGGAGTTCATGTGTGACAGTGGCCTGTGCATCAATGCAGGCTGGCGCTGTGATGGCGACGCGGACTGTGATGACCAGTCTGATGAGCGCAACTGCAGTGAGTAGAAAAATGGCTCCAAAGCCTGAGAGGAGTGTTGTGGGATCATAGAGGGCATTACCAATAAAGTTTGAAGACATACTGGATGGCATGTAAGGTTGTATAAGTTGTGCACTGCAGTGGCAAAGGAATGTTAGTCACATAATAGATGTCCCTTTTATAGCAGTAAATTGCTTTGAGGAAGGGGCACCTTTTTTTCCTGATTCACACAAAGATGCCACATAGACCACCTCTTGACACATGTGTCAAGAAGAGGGACATGGGTACTGATAGAAAGTGCAGCTCAGCTGTGAGTGGCAGGGTGAAGCTTGAGGCCACCCTTTCATTAGGCTTTTGCTTCACCCAGCCACCTCCATGTGTACAGCGGAACAGTTCCGCTGTCGGTCAGGCCGCTGCGTCCGCCTGTCCTGGCGCTGTGATGGGGAGGACGACTGTGCAGACAACAGCGATGAAGAGAACTGCGAGAACACAGGTGGAGTCTCCCAGGGACCCCAGATCCCCTAACCTACAGATGGTGGCAGGGGGTGGGGGTCAGGGCTGTCACTCCAGCTCTCCAGGTAGGCCAAGATGATGCTTCATTCAGATCCTTCCCGTGGCCTGGAGTTTTCCTGCCCTTGCAAGTGACACCCGCTCCCCTGCCACGTCTAGCACTGCACATGTGTGTGCATTTTATTATTCTGTTCCACATCCCTCATCCGCTGTGGTGTCCTGGGGGGTGGGAATGCAGACGCCCAGCCTGTCTTGTCTGAGCTGTTTCCTGCCGTGGACCCCAACCCTCCCTCCTTGATGTCATCTGTCTCTAGCTCACCTTAGAAAATGACAGGCTTCCATCCCTTGTTGACCCAAGCCCTGACCCTCCCTTCCTCCCTCCTTCTCCCCCCTCTCTCTCCAGGAAGCCCTCAGTGTGCCTCCGACCAGTTCCTGTGTTGGAATGGGCGCTGCATTGGGCAGAGGAAGCTGTGTAACGGGGTCAATGACTGTGGTGACAACAGCGACGAAAGCCCACAGCAGAACTGCCGTGAGTGTCCCTGGTGGGCGGTCCTGGCCTGTGGTTTGTGGTTGAACCCCACCCATAAGGTTCAAAGGGAATCCTCCCTAGGACTCTTGCACTTTGGGAGCTGTTCTTCATGGTCCAGGTGGAATGCCAAGTTGGCCGTCTGGGGGAGGATTCTGGGCTCAACTCCCAACTCTGGCTTGGCTGGCACAGGGCCCCGGACGGGTGAGGAGAACTGCAATGTTAACAACGGTGGCTGCTCCCAGAAGTGCCAGATGGTGCGGGGGGCAGTGCAGTGTACCTGCCACACAGGCTACCGGCTCACAGAGGACGGGCGCACGTGCCATGGTGAGCTGGTGTGGAACAGAGTCAGAATGCTGGGCAGGGACAGCAGATAGACAGCCTGTTTTCTAAGGGTCAGGCATTAGATGGATGTGACCTTATTTTATTATCACAATAACCCTAGAAAGTGGAGATCATCCCTCTCATTTCACAGATGGGGAAATGGAATCTCAGAGAGATTAAGTAATTTACCAAAGGCTGCACAGCTAGTGAATAGCAAAGGTGGAATTCCAGCCCAGGTTTGCATGGCCTCAAAGCCTTTTATGGCTTATTACACAGCTTTCCCTGGAAAGTAGATGGGAATGTGGGGGGAAAAAAAAACAAACAGCTAGGCAGCCTGGGAATTGGGGCAGGAGGATGGCAGAAGGGGACTTCCTGACCCTGCCTGGCATTTGCAGATGTGAATGAATGTGCTGAGGAGGGGTACTGCAGCCAGGGATGCACCAACAGTGAAGGAGCTTTCCAGTGCTGGTGTGAAGCAGGCTATGAACTACGGCCCGACCGGCGCAGCTGCAAGGCTCTGGGTAAGGGGTGTTTGTATTTGGCTGGGTGAGCATGGGGGGACTGAGCATGGAGAAGTGCCATGTAGACAGGCACAGTGGCACATACCTTTAATCCCAATGACTTGGGAGGCTGAGGCAGGAGGACTGAAAGTTCCAGGGCAGTCTCAGAAACTTAGTGAGACCTGCCTCAAAATAAAAACTAAAAGGTCTGGGATACAGCTCAGGTGATAAAGCAACCATGGGTTCAATGCCCAGTATGAGAGAGAGAGAGAGAGAGAGACAGACAGACAGACACTGAGACTACAGGTGCTCTGGAGCTCAGGGATTTGCTGAGAGGTGGAAAGATTGGGGTAGGAGAAGTTTCCACTCTTCCAGGATAGACGTCGGCAGCTTGAGGCATGCTTTAGTGGGCAAGGCCCCCCTATGACAGTTGAGGACTTGGGGGGGCATGTTGATGAGTATGTGGTAGCTCTGAAGCCCAACTCTGTTTCTATACTGTCCCAGGGCCAGAGCCTGTGCTGCTGTTCGCCAATCGCATCGACATCCGGCAGGTGCTGCCACACCGCTCTGAGTACACCCTGCTACTCAACAACCTGGAGAATGCCATTGCCCTTGACTTCCATCACCGGCGCGAGCTTGTCTTCTGGTCCGATGTCACCCTGGACCGGATCCTCCGAGCTAACCTCAATGGCAGCAACGTGGAAGAGGTTGTGTCTACAGGACTAGAAAGCCCAGGTAGGCAACAAGGCCCCCTAGAGAGGGACAGGGCCACACCGTCTGCAAAGCTATAGTGGAAGGGGCAGGATGGTGTTTGCAAACCTTCCGCAGCTGACCATCTCTTCCTCCCAGTGAAGTATTGGGTAGAACTCTGACATAGAAAATATTTGTTAGTATATATTAAGTTTATAGGTTTAGATGTAACATTTGGTGAATGTCATAACTGGAATTAGAGACTTGCGGACAGTTACAGTTCTCTACCAGCTTCAGCTCACTTCTAAGTTTTGTTTTGATTGCTTAGTATCAAGATTATTCTGATTGGTTCAGATAAGTATATCCAAATGTTTTATAGCTTTAAAAAACAGCAACATCTTACTTGGCAGTCTCAGGCTATTCTACTAAGTAGGTGAAGTGGGTTAGAATTTGGTATTGGGGGCTCAGGCTGTATGTAGCTCAGTGGTAGAGCTCTTGCCTACCATGCAACAAGGCCCTGAGTTCAATCTCTAGCACTGCAAAGGAGAAATGGAAAGAAAGAAAAGAAGGAAGAAAGGAAGGATTTGGTTAAGAACAGAGTTGACTCAATGCTTTGGGAACTTCTGAAATGCCTCTACAAAACCTTAGGTGTCAATTTGCAAACCTGACCTTGATGCAGTAGGGAGAACTGGGGGTGGGTCAGGAGCCAGAATTCAGCAAATGGCATGTGATTGACGTTGCACCGTGCCTTGATTTCTCTGTGCCTCAGTTTCCTCATCTTCATGGGAATCATAGTACCTAGTTCACAGATTTGTGATGATTAAATGAGTTATCATATGCAAGATTCTTACAGTAGTGCTTAGCCCCGGAAACTGCTTTAGTTTCTCTTGTTACTAAGGCACACAGGAGCCCCTGCAGAATCCCTGAAACTTTTCTACTTTTTCCACCAGGGGGTCTGGCTGTGGATTGGGTCCATGACAAACTTTATTGGACTGACTCAGGGACATCAAGGATCGAGGTGGCCAACCTGGATGGGGCCCACAGAAAGGTGCTACTGTGGCAGAACCTTGAGAAGCCCCGGGCCATTGCCTTGCACCCCATGGAGGGGTGAGTAGGTTGGGTCTCAGGCTTCCAAATCCCTCTTGTAACCTGTAGGGGCAGTTCTCAGGCCACTTGAGCCAGTCTTCATGGGTGTCTCCTCAGAGTGTGGTGTGCATCTAGACACTCCTAAGTCTATGAACCGGCTCTGCAACAGCTGGCCATGTGGCCTTGGGGTTGTTAATCTCTTTCTGCTCCCTTTATTCATTTCCAAACTGATAATTAAGGAAAAATAAAATTCTGCCTCATAGTTGTCTGAAGATTAAATGAGAGAGGCATTTTAAATATAATACAACATACATGTTAGGTAAGTTTTTAAGTCATTAGTTTTTTTATTATTAGCTCATAGGGTTGAGCCAATTAATAAAATTTATTAATTTAAAATAACTAAAAAGCTAACAGAAAAAAATCTCATGAATCAAAGCCTCTAAAAATGGAAGTTCCTAGCTTCTGGCTTTTTTTTTCCTTCAAGCTTCTCTTTTATTTATTAACTTTATTTGTTTGTTTATTTATTTTTTAACATGGTGCCAAGGATTGAACCCAGTGCCTCACATGTGCTAGGCAAGTGCTCTACCACTGAGCAACAACCCCAGCTCTGGCTTTTAAAAATTCAATGCCATCAACTGAAGAGATATCTTATAAGATCCTTCAGTTTCATGTTAACTGTTGTAGAAACTCTGTTTGTGCTGTGCGTGGTGGCACACACCTGGAATCTGAGCTATTCCGAGCTACTCAGGAGGTTAAATCAGATGGTTCACAAGTTTAAGGACTTCCTGGACAATTTAGTAAACTCTGTCTCAAAATAAAAAATAAGGGGCTATGGCTCAGTGGTAGCGCACTTGCCTGGCATGTGTGAGGCACTGGGTTTGATTCTCAGCACTGCATATAAATAAATAAAATAAAGGTCTATCAACAACTAAAAAAATTATTAAATAAAAATTAAAAATAAACCAGTATTAAGTGGTGGTGCACACTTGTAATCCCAGTGAGTCAGGAGGCTGAGACGGGAGGATTACAAGTTCAAGGGCAACCTTAGCAACTTAGCAAGGTTAGCGAGATCCTGTATTAAAATTTAAAAATTAAAAGGGCTGAGGATATAGCTCAGTGGTAAAACACCCTGGATTCAACTCCAATTAATTAATTAATCAAATCAAATCAATACAGGTAGCTCAGATGGTAGAGCACTTGCCTATAGTATGTATGAGGTTCTGGGTTCTACCATCAGTGCCAAGGGCCGGGTGCCGTGGTGCATGCCTGTAATCCCAGTGGTTCAAGAGGCTGAGATAGGAGGATTGCAAGTTCAAAGCCAGCCTCAGCAATTTAGCAAGGCCTTAAGCAACTTATTGAGATGCTGTCTCTAAATAAAATATAAAAAGACTGGGGATGTGACTTAGTAGTTAAGCACTCCTGAGTTGAATCCCCAGTACAAAAAAAAAAAAATCACCAGTGCCCTCTAAAATGTAAAGAAAAAGAAAAAAAGAAACAAACTGGGCATGTAGATGTATATAAAATACAATGGCAGTGAAAGAAACTGTGAGAAAGATGAAAGTGCCTGTCCTAACTGATGTTACACTATATTGTCAATTCCATGAGCTTTGGGACTTTGACTTACCATTGACCTATCACTGGTATATCTCAGCCTAAGATAGAACTGTCTTTTTTTTTTTTTTTGTCTAGAAACATTTAAATTAGAATATTTAAAAAATACTCTCTGGACAAAACAGTTGGAGTCCCTGGGTTAAATAGCTAGAAGCCTCTGTCTGATTATTAACCTGTTTACTACCGATCCATCCTCTGCTGCCCACCTCTCAATTTCTTCTCTTCTTCCCAGTACCATTTACTGGACAGACTGGGGCAACACCCCTCGCATTGAGGCCTCCAGCATGGACGGCTCTGGACGTCGCATCATTGCAGATACCCATCTCTTCTGGCCCAATGGCCTCACCATTGACTATGCTGGGCGCCGCATGTACTGGGTAGATGCTAAACACCACGTCATTGAGAGGGCCAACCTGGATGGGAGTCATCGCAAGGCTGTCATTAGCCAGGGTGAGACCCTTCCCCACTCTCCTTCATCTCTCATGCTTTCCCCTATCCCTGCCTCCCGGAGCCTTGGCAGAGGATGAGATTTGTACAGTTGCCAGGCCTGGGCTCAGGGCCATGCAAGACCATGTCTGGACTGAGGTCTTTCTGGACTTTCCCCAGGCCTCCCTCATCCCTTCGCCATCACGGTGTTTGAAGACAGCCTGTATTGGACAGACTGGCACACCAAGAGCATCAATAGTGCTAATAAGTTTACTGGGAAGAACCAGGAAATCATTCGCAACAAGCTGCATTTCCCTATGGACATTCATACCTTGCACCCCCAACGCCAGCCTGCAGGTAAAAACCTACACAACAGGTGAGGCAAAATAGCCTCATGGATGATGTGGCTGTTGGAGCCTCTGAGAAATTTCTTGTAATTTGCAATTTTTGCCGGTTTTTCTGATGGGAGGAGTCGGGGACATTCAGGGCTGGCATTAACACGGGCTCATTCCTCCCTCTGCTGGACATTTAGGGTAGTACAACATCAAAACTCACCAGACTCATTGGCTTCAGTGTTCCATTTAATTCATGTAAACATTTACAGGGCCTCTCCTCTGTGTCAGGTACTCACTGTGTTAGCTGCTGGGGCAGATATAAAAAGCAATAAGACATAATTCTTCCCTCTGGGGAGTTTACAGCCTACTCTCTGGCCTGAGGGGGGTATGTTTGGAAATGGTTAGTCTTAAAGTGACCCTCTTGCTCTGGGTTCTTTAAACAGGGAAAAACCGCTGTGGAGACAACAATGGAGGCTGCACCCACCTGTGTCTTCCCAGTGCCCAGAACTATACCTGTGCCTGCCCTACTGGCTTCCGCAAAATCAGCAGCCACGCCTGTGCCCAGAGTAAGTGGGTCTGGAACACCAGCCTCAGAGGAAGTGCCTTGTGCGGGTGGGTGGAAGGAAAAAGACACGTGTTGGAGGGATATCCTGTTAGAGGAAGAGCCAGTCTCCTCAGTAGCCACTGGAGAGGAAGAACTTAAGAGGCTGGGGATCCTATATCAAAACTGAGGACTGAGGGCCCAGCAGTAGTTGCCAAAGGCTCAGGACACCACCCAGTCGAGTATGAACACCTGCAACCAGGCTTATGTTTCATTTCACCAGGTAGGATGCCTCATCTCTAGGCAGAAAGAGGGTTTTAGGCTCTTCTAGAAAGCAGGGGAATGATTTCCAGCCTCTTTACTTTTAGCCTCATCCCCAAAAGAAAGTTTTGAAACTTTCTTTCAGTGTTTAGATCAGGGAGCCAAAATTAGAACACTCAGAGGTTTCATTTCAGACAGTGATTGAGAACCTAGTGTTGTGCAATGCATTTTGCCCTTGCATTCTTCTTGCTCATCTCTTCCTCTGTTATCTTAGTAAGAAGCAAAAATGCTTCCCCAAACATTTTTCTTTGAGGGTTTCCCAGAGCTTGGAAGAAAAAAGTTAGGTTTTAGGTTCTTTTGGGGGGGGGTTCTTTTTTTCTTTTTTATTTTTTTGCAGTGCTGGGATTGAACCCAGGCCTTAGATGGTAAAATTAGGGAGGAAGTGTCTTATGGGCAGAAAAATATATAGTTGAGAATCTGTGGGTTCCACAATTGCAGATTCAACCAACTTTGAATATATGTATTTAATGTATATGTGTGTGTATACATATATGTGTGTGTGTATATATGTATATACATGCAGGTACATATATATATATATATATATATATATATATATATGTATAAATTGTGTCTGTACTGAACATGTACAGACTTTTTATCATTCTTCCTTAAATAATAAGTGTGACAACTATTAACATAGAATATGTTTTGCATTTGGAATCTCCAGCAACAAATCAATAGTAAAAATATTGAATTAGGTATTTTAAGTTATCTAGAGATGATTTAAAGTATATGGAAGAGCCAGGCATGGTGGTACACACCTGTCATCCCAGCAACTCAGGAGGCTGAGGCAGGAAGATTACAATTTTGAGTCCACCCACAGTAACTTAGGGAGGCCCTAAGCAACTTAGCAAGACCCTGTCTCAAAATTTAAAACAATAAAAATAAAAATAAAAAAAATTTAAAACAATAAAAATTTCCTGGTTCTTCCCAGTAAACTGGAATGGAGCTCAGTGGTAAAGTGCCCCTGGGTTCAATCCCAAGTACCAACAACAAAAACCAAAACCAAACAAACAAAAAAACCTGAAACTAAAGTATATGGAAGGATATGTGCAGGTATATACAAATACAATGCCATTTTATAAAAGGGACTTGCAGATTTTTGTGTCTGTGGTGTCTTGGAACCAATGCCCCGCAGATACCAAGGGATGATTGTACTGGAAAAATATTCAGACAGACCAGAGTAAGGGCAGAAGATGGAGAAGAGTCTGCTAGGAAAACACTGTAGAGAACAGTGGGCAGCTCTTCCTCTGGAGTGGAACTGAGCCCCGCTCTCCTGTCTGTTGCTGTGAGATTCTAGGCAAGTTACTTGGTTAACTGAAGAGATGCTCATCTAGAAAATGAGAGCAAGAATAACATGTACCACAAAGGGTTGGTGTGTCTGCCTGTCCCACCTGATTAAGTCCTTCAAGGACGAAAATGTGCCTCAAATCTTTCCTGAGCATTAAGCTCAATGCCTGGAAAGGAAGGTGCTCAGTGAATATTGGCTAAAACTGTGATGAGAAGAGCTAGAGGAAGGATCTAGATGATAGAGGAGAATCAGAGCCCCCAAAACAGTGGAAGCAGAGCAGCAGAGCCTGCTGTTGGCAGTAATCCAGCCAGTGCACTGGAAGAGACCTGGCAAAGTCAGAAGAGAGAAAAACTTAGACGAAGCTAACAGACACGTAAACAACATGTACTTCTGGGCCCTGGGTAGAGTCTGTTTCCATTGGATTCTATGACTGATTCTGCCCAGTGCTCAAGGAGGCCTGTAGTGTGAAGAGTAAGGGGCAAAGGGCACCAGGTCCCAGGAAGTGTGATTGACCAGGTGTCACGCAGGTGAGCGTCTGTGTCTGTCACTGTTACTGGATTTAGAGCATTAAAAGAAGACCCCTCTCGGCCTTTGATCAGGTCTTGACAAGTTCCTGCTTTTTGCCCGAAGGATGGACATCCGTCGGATCAGCTTTGACACAGAGGACCTTTCCGACGATGTCATCCCACTGGCTGACGTGCGCAGTGCTGTGGCCCTTGACTGGGACTCCCGGGATGACCATGTGTACTGGACAGATGTCAGCACTGATACCATCAGCAGGGCTAAGTGGGATGGAACGGGACAGGAGGTAGGTCCCAGCATGGACTCAGGCTCTCAGGGAAGGCAGAAATTATGGGGTAGAATCCATCCTTTCCAGGGTAAGGGCTTCCCATACCTTGAGAATTTGTGGAGTTTGGGCTCTAGAGCTGGAGTGAAAATACCATTGGCGACACAATTTTGCTTCCTGCATAGGTGGTAGTGGATACCAGTTTGGAGAGTCCTGCAGGCCTGGCCATTGATTGGGTCACCAACAAGCTATATTGGACAGATGCAGGTATGTAAAAGGGGACCTATGGCCTGGCTGCCTGGGGTTCCTCTTATATAAAACCTTGGACTCAGGTAAAAGAGTCCAGTGCCTCTCTTAGACTGTGTCTCTCTTGACCTGAAGTCCTTGGTAGGCAGAAGTGATAGGGCTGCTATAGAGTTAAAGCCAGAAGCTCACATCTGAGGTTAGACATTTGTTAGGCAAATGGCAACTATATGCATGATGTAATTGATGCTTGGAAATGTTTTAAAGCATTTCAGATGATGAACCAATGCCCTGTAGTTTTCTTTTCATCATTGTCTGGATAAAACCATTTCAGGTGGGTATGAGAGGCAAAAGGAATGCCTTAAACCAATGCTACTCAAACTGTGGTCCCTGGACCAGCAGCATCGGCATCCCTTAGGAAGTTGTTAGACATGTGTATTCTGGGGCCTCACCCCATACTTACTGAATCAAAATCTTTGGGGATTGGATTCAGGAATTAGATTAAATTAGATTAGATTCTGTAATTTAACAAGCTTTCCTAATTCTTAGGCATACTAAAGTTGGAGAATCATTGCCTCAAATTATAAGACAGAGTTGGTTGCCTAGGTTTAGAAGTCTTGGTTTTCTTTTTTTTTTTTTAATTTTTAAAAATTTGTTCTACTTAGTTATACATGACAGCAGAATCCATTTCAACTTGAAGTCTTGCTTTTCTAAGAAATGAAACTGATCACTTTCTTGAATTTCTTATCACAGTTTAATTCACTAAACATGTTTTGTGCATCTATCACAAAATATTTATTGAGCATCTCTTGCATGCCTGCTGTCTGCTAGGAATGGAGGATAAGGTGAATGAACAAGACTAGAGTTCATATCTTTGCCCTTACTTCTTGGTAGGTACAGACCGGATTGAAGTAGCCAACACAGATGGCAGCATGAGGACAGTACTTATCTGGGAGAACCTTGATCGTCCTCGAGACATCGTGGTAGAACCCATGGGCGGGTGAGTGCTGCCACTTAGGAGCTCCATTCTCCCCAAGATCTGAGTACTAGAGGGGAGTCTGTTGATTAGGGAGAGAAGCCATATTTAGGGCATATCAAAGATGCAAGGGTAGGGGCTGAGGTTATGCCTCAGTGGTAGAGCACTCATCTAGCACGTGCGAGGCCCTGGGTTTGATCCTCAGCACCACATAAAAATGAATAAAATAAAGTTATTATGTCCAACTACTTCTAAAAAATAAATATTAAAAAAAAAAAAAGATGGGGCTGGGGATGTGGCTCAACAGGTAGCACACTCGTCTGGCATGCGTGAGGCCCGGGTTCGATTCTCAGAACCACATATAAACAAAGATGTTGCCAAAAACTAAAAAATAAAAAAATATTAAAAAAATTTCTCTTTCTCCTCTCTCTCTCTCTCTTTAAAAAAAAAAAAAAGATGCAAGGGCAGCTGTAGAAACCACAGAAGGCAGTGACAACCTTGTCTCTTGTCTGGACAAGAAAACTTTTTTTTTTTTTTAATATTTTTTATAGTAGATGGACACAATACCTTTATTTTACTTTTATGTAGTGCTGAGGATTGAACTCGGTGCCTCACATGTGCTAGGCAAGCACTCTACCACGTGAGCTACAACTCCAGCCTTGGACAAGGAAACTTTAAAAACTTTCTTTATTTTTTGTAATTATATAAAAAAAAATACTTTGTTTGCTTACAAAAGTAACTTGTTGTCAAGGAAAATTAAATCATAGAGAGTGAAAATTCTCTATCACTGTCTAGCAACAACCACTGTTAACAGTGTGGGATATTTTTTCCAGATTTTCTTCTAAATGTATATAAATACTTGGCGGTGGTGGTGGTTTGGGTTTTTTAAATATGGCATACTGTTTTTGGACTTGGGTATTTTTGTTTGTTTGTTTTTTACTTGGTTGAGCTATATATTTTGTATATATTTCCTTTTAAGTATATAGTTCTATCTTGTTCTTCATGGTTATATAGAATTTGGTTAAAATTATATACCATAATTACTTAGCCCACCCAATCAAGAAAGTGTTTCTTAATCCCTCTCCTCCCCTCCCCTTTCTTTATTCCCGAGTAGGCCTCATTTGCTGTGTACTCTTGAGCCATGGGGCTCTGCCTTTCAATAGTGATAGAAGATACAAAGGCCTCTGGGGACAGCTCTGATCCCAGAACTGGGCTGGGCAGTGAGGCAGGAGGCTGGGGCAGCTATTGTTGACAGATACCCTAAAACCCTAGATATCCTGGATTCCCACTGGATTTTTTTATTTTTTTAGTTGTAGCTGGACACAGTATCTTTATTGATTTCTATGTGGTGCTGAGGATTGAACCCAGTGCCTCACATGTGCCAGCAGGCACTCTACCACTGAGCGATAGCCCTAGCCTCCCCCTGGATATTAACTAGAAAGCTTGTAAGACATGCCTTGCCTATGCCCAGGTACATGTATTGGACTGACTGGGGTGCAAGTCCCAAGATTGAACGAGCTGGCATGGATGCCTCCAACCGCCAAGTCATCATCTCTTCTAATCTGACCTGGCCCAATGGATTAGCTATTGACTATGGGTCCCAGCGGCTGTACTGGGCTGATGCTGGCATGAAGACAATTGAATTTGCTGGACTGGATGGCAGCAAGAGGAAGGTAAGGGTGTCAGTAAGGCCTCTTTCCACAGCCCCAACAGCCTCCAGGACAGACTCCCTGGCTGGCAGCTCAAAGGAGATAGGTAGGGGGACCTGGGGATTATGAGATGAGCGTGGGGCATGTGCTGTTTCTCTGAAGCTGTGGCCACCCTCCAGAACTGGAGTAGGGGTGGGGGCTGCTGGTTGATGGTGAAAGCAAACTAGGGATTTGTGTGTTTTGTGGGCTGGGGGTATAAATGCACAGGCCTTCCTAATACCCATCATAGCTAACACTAATAGTCACCAGTTGCACACCAGGCCCATGATTGATCTCTGTTTGGTTTTTGATATCATCTATTTTGTTGTAATTCCTGACCTTCAGAAAAATGGCAAGAATAATAAAAAAATATAAATAACCAAATTTTGCCACATTTCTTACACTCTTATTTTCTTTCACGTGCATGCATGCACTTTTTTCTGAATCATCTGTGATTAAATTGAAGAAATCCTGCCCTTGATCCCCAAATATCCTAGTACATATTTCCTAAGAACAAGGTAAAATTATCATAGCCATGGTAAAATTACAAAATTGGGAAATTTAACATTAATATAATATTAATATATATTAATTTTGATAATAGCCATGGTAAAATTATCAAAATTGGGAAATTTAACATTATCCATAATCCATGTTCAGTTTTACTATCAATTTCCCAATAATGTTCATTTCTTTCCCCTCCTTTTTTTTTCCCTCTGGAATCCAATCCAGGATCACTCATTGTATTTAGTATTTAGCATCTTGTCTCTTTAATTTCTAATTTTGGAATACTTCTTTAGCCTTTTTTTTTTTTTTACTGGGACTGAAACTAGAGTTGCTTAACCATTGAACCACATCTCCAGAACTTTTTTGTATTTTATTTAGAGACAGTATTTTATATTTTATTTTGAGTTGCTTAGGACCTCACCTTAAGTTGCTGAGGCTGGCCTTGAATTTATGATTTTACCTCAGCCTCCTGAGCTTCTGGGATTACAGATTACAGGCACCACTATGCTCTGTCTTTTTTGACCTCTGCTTGCTTGCCTGCTTTTTTTTTTTTAATATTTTTTAGTTGTCAGTGGATTTTTATTTATATGTGGTGTTGAGAATTGAATCCAGTGCCTCATACATGCTAGGCAAGCACTCTACTACCAAGCTACAACCCCAGCTCCTCTTTCTTTCTTTCTTTGTAGTACTGGGGATTGAATTTAGGGCTTTTTGCATTTTAGGCAAGATCACTATCATTAAAGTATATCTCCAACCTAATCTTTGCATTTTTAAAGTGTAAAAATTATTTTGCAGAATACTCCTTGAGTTTGTCTGATGTTTCCTTGTGATTGGATTCAGATTATGCATTAGGGGCAGGAATACTACATTTAGTGGAGTCATGTCCTAAGTTCTCTATGTGTCTCACCAGTAGGCACAGATGTAGGCTTGTCCCATTATCCTGATGTCTATTTTATTGCATGATTAAGGGGGTGTTTACTGTAAAGTCTCTATTTTTCCTTTGATTATATAAGCAATACTTGATCTTTTAAAATAATCACAAGCAATTGGAGCTAGGCATGGTCATGATTGTTATCACAGATTGGTAGATCAAGGTGCAGAGAGATTATGTGACTCTCTCTTGGTCAAGATCACATAGTAAATGGTAGTGGCAGAGCTGCATTTGACTCCATGCCCACCTCTTGACTGCTGCTCTGTAATGTCAGACCTTGTTGGGGATGACACAAGTGCTGGGTCCCTGGCAGGTACTGATTGGAAGCCAACTCCCCCATCCTTTTGGGCTGACTCTCTATGGAGAGCGCATCTATTGGACTGACTGGCAGACCAAGAGTATACAGAGTGCCGACCGGTTGACTGGGCTGGACCGGGAGACCCTGCAGGAGAACCTGGAGAATCTCATGGACATCCATGTCTTCCACCGAAGGCGGCCTCCAGGTGAGCAGCCCTTAGTCTGCCATGACTTCTCCTCAGCCCTATTATACCCTGGCCAGCCCCACTGACCTCCCTCCTCCCTATCCAGTGATCACACCATGTGCTATGGAGAATGGAGGCTGCAGCCACCTATGTCTCCGGTCCCCAAGTCCAAGTGGCTTCAGCTGTACCTGCCCTACAGGCATCAACCTGCTTTCTGATGGCAAGACCTGTTCACCAGGTGAGTAAAGCATAACATCTGGGATGGAAAATGGCTTTCTTCCCTGCAGATATGCTCCAATATGGTCTAAATCCTGGTACTTCTAGAAGCTTAGGGGAGAGACAAAACTTTTAAAAGAGGGAGATCCAGGGGAGCACGTAATCAGGGTCCCACTGCTTCTTACATACATGCATTTTAGAAAAAGATGTTCCTCTCTCAAGACCCTTTCCTTGCATCTGTTGGAAATTTGTAACATGCTGATTTGGTTAGAACAAGATGCTTGACTTCCTTCTGCTTAGGTATAATAAATATAAACATGTATCATATCTACAATATAATGATATCCTCCCTAACTCCTTTAGATATGCCACTTTTGCATGCATGACCTATGTGACAATCATAAGGGGGTGGTCCCAGAAGCGGGACCTGGCTACTGAGATGTTGGAAGTCAGGGTTTTCCTCTGGGAATGCTGTATGGTGGGCTTCATTTGAATTCGAAACTCCCAAGGTATTTGTGTGCGTCAGTTATAAGCATTCAAATTACCACCCTGTTATTATCCCGGTTCTATAGATCAGAAAACCGAGGCTTAAATAATTCCAAAACTTGCCTAGGATTGCACAACTAGAAACTAGCAGGGTCAGGGCATGAGCTTCAGTTTGTCTGACTCCAGATCCTCTTATTGGTGTTCCTGAATGATTGTCCTCTCTCCTCTTTCCATTTGAGCAGGCATGAACAGTTTCCTCATCTTTGCCAGAAGGATAGATGTACGCATGGTCTCTCTAGACATCCCTTATTTTGCCGACGTGGTGGTGCCAATCAACATTACCATGAAGAACACCATTGCCATTGGAGTAGACCCCCAGGAAGGTCTGTGAGACCCTTCCTTCCCACCTGGACTTCTGACCCTGCCCTTTCTTACTGTCCTTCCTTTCCACCTCCTTTGCGTCCTGCTAAGAGCCTGGGGCTGCCCAGCTGCCCTTCCCCCCACCCCCTGGCATAGCCCATGTTCCTGTCTCTGTAGCACTTCCTCTCTGATTGTGGAGTCACAGTTTGGGGCCCTCCTCTCTCCATCTCTTCTAAGAGTTATTCTGTTAGGATATTTCTGTGTTTCCCTTGATTTCCTCTGCTAGGGAGTGTGGGGGTCTCTGAGAGGCACTGGTGTCTCAGGGCATGGATCAGCTGTGTGAGCCATTGTGGGAGGGTGGGGCCTGGGTTGAGCCAAGCCTTCCCTTTCCAGGAAAAGTGTACTGGTCTGACAGCACACTGCACCGGATTAGCCGTGCCAGTCTGGATGGCTCACAGCACGAGGACATCATCACCACAGGTGGGCCTTCCTTCCAGCGCAGGGACCACCTGTCTGGCTACAGAGCTTGAGAAATATCCCATCTGTCTTAAAGCAGGAGCCAGTGTGATATTCTGACTTCCTGCAGGGCTGCAGACCACAGATGGGCTCGCAGTGGATGCCATTGGCCAGAAAGTATACTGGACAGACACAGGAACAAACAGGATTGAAGTGGGCAACCTGGATGGGTCCATGCGGAAAGTGTTGGTGTGGCAGAACCTTGACAGTCCCCGGGCCATTGTTCTATACCATGAGATGGGGTGAGAGCTGACTCTTGCTCTGGGTAGCTGTATGGGCTGGCTCAGCTGGGGCTATGGACAGGGTGAGGTGGGCAGTGGAGAGCTGGAGAGCAGGCATGCCTCACAGGAACATTGCGAACTCTGAAGGTCAATGTAGACTGGCCTCTCTGGGACTGTTCCACTCCTCTGTGGCTCCTTCAGGGTGCCAGCTCAATACAGAGGTTACAAGTCTGAGCCTTGGAGTTGGAAGACTAGGATTTATATTCTTTCATCAAGTATTAGCTGTATCACTTTGAATCTAGTACTTAACCTCTCTGATCCTCAACTTCCTTACCTGTAAAAAAGGGATACATACTTTGTGGCCCTGTGAGGGTTAAGTGAGATAATGCCTGTGAAATACTTTGTAAAGTGTCTGACATAAAGTCTTCATGGTACACAGTGGCTGCCAGAATAATCAGCTATTATTCTTCCTCATTTAGGTTCATGTATTGGACAGACTGGGGGGAGAATGCCAAGTTAGAGCGGTCTGGAATGGATGGCTCAGATCGAACGGTGCTCATCAACAACAACCTAGGATGGCCCAATGGACTGACTGTGGACAAGGCAAGCTCCCAACTGCTATGGGCTGATGCGCACACTGAGGTGAGAACTCTTCCCCGGTGCTTCACAGAAGCCTCGCAAGATGGAAAAGGCCTGTCCAGCATCTGCACTGAGGGTTCCCAGTTGACTGACAAGCCACTTCCCACCCTCTTCCTCTCTGCAGCGAATTGAGGTCGCTGACCTAAATGGTGCCAATCGGCACACATTGGTATCACCAGTGCAGCACCCGTATGGCCTCACCCTTCTTGGCTCCTATATCTACTGGACTGATTGGCAGACCCGTAGCATCCACCGCGCTGACAAGGGTACTGGCAGCAATGTCATCCTGGTGAGGTCCAATCTGCCAGGCCTCATGGACATCCAGGCTGTGGATCGGACGCAGGCACTGGGTGAGAAGACCCCTGGGGCTTGGGTCAGAGCCTCTGGATTTCTGGGGCTATCTCAACAGCAGAGCTATATTCAGAGCACAGAACTACTTTACAGTCAGAGAGACAACGATCTGCCTAAGCCCCCTCCCGGAACAGGCTCTATTCCCTCTGGGTATGGCTGGTACTACAACTGAATGATGCTGTCACCTTTAAAGGACTCCTGGAGACACTCCTTCTGTATCTGTCCCACTCCTGCCCTGCCAGACACCAAATCCTGTCACATAGAACAGCAAGAAGTCAGCCACAAAAAAAAAACTGGAATCTTTATAAGAGTTGGGCAGTATTCCAGGCTGGGTGTGAAAGCTTGTGCTTCTCTTACCAGGTTTTAACAAGTGTGGTTCGAGAAATGGTGGATGCTCTCATCTCTGCTTGCCTCGGCCTTCTGGCTTCTCCTGTGCCTGTCCCACAGGCATCCAGCTGAAGGACGATGGGAAGACCTGTGACCCCTCTCCTGAGACCTACCTGCTCTTCTCCAGCCGAGGCTCTATCCGGCGTATCTCGCTGGACACCAGCGACCACACAGATGTACATGTCCCTGTTCCTGAGCTCAACAACGTCATCTCCCTGGACTATGACAGTGTAGATGGGAAGGTGTATTACACAGATGTGTTTCTGGATGTTATCAGGTATGAGTATCACTGAAACCTTCAGGGGACACAGACCTGCTTCTGATCCCCAGGGGTGAAGAGACATTCTGTGTTAACGTCTAAATGGACTGAATGATTTGGCAATTTGGATAGTTAGTTCTAATTCTGACTTGTTCATTTTATAGTGTTATCATTTAGTTCAAAGTTCTAAACTTTTGTTTAATGATTATATAAATCTCAGACACTCAGGAGACTGAGGTAAGAGGGTTGCAAGTGTGAGGCCAGACAGAGTAATGTTGAAGGACCCTACGCAAACAATAAGTGAAAATGAAGATTATGTAGAAATATGTCAAATAAATAAACAACAATACATACACACACACAAAACAGGTAAAGTTCTACCTACCACTGGGCCCTGAGGGAGCTTCAAGAACACCTAGGACTCATTGATAAGGGGGCCACATACATAGCTAGTATCCATATTGCAGTATAGGAAAACCCTGGCCAAATGTCAAAGCTTACTGCAGTTGCAAAGTTGTTGTTTTTAATATTTTGGATTTTATTTTCATATTTTTACTTTATATTTTTATATTTTATGATGCCCTGCTATCAGTGCTAGTGGTTTAACAGCTGTAATCCCAGCTTTCAAGAGGCCAAGGCAGATTGCAAGTTCAAGGCCAGCCTGTGTAATTTAGCAAGATCCTGTCTCAAAAAATAAAAATGACTGAGGATGTAGCTTATTAATGGAGTGCCCCTGGGTTCTAGGCCTAATACCACATACACACACATACACAAAGCCAGGTGTGGTGGCACATGCCTATAATTCCAGAGACTCTGGAGGCTGAGGCAAAAGGATCACAAGTATGAAGCCAGTCTAAGGAACTTAGCAAGACCCTGTCTCAAAATAAAAATAGAAAGGTTTAGGGATGTGGCTCAGTGGTAGAGTATCCCTGGGTTCAATCCCCAGTAAAATTCCCAATCTTTACAGCAAAAAGTATAAGGGAAAAAAAGCAGTTTACCATGGCTGGGATTTTCACATGGGAACAGTGGGTAGGTATTTGCTTTTGTCTCCCTGCGTGTGTATTGGAATCTCATGCTGGGGGCAGGTGGGCTTACGCAAGAACGAAGTCCCCCAGGTGATTATAATATATTCTTCATCCTGAAGTTGAGTTCTCTCGTGTAGGGCTTTGGCAGGTTTTGACAAATCTGCCTTATAATTATCTCCTACTGATCATTGTCTCCTCCCAAAGACATATGATGGATGACTAATCTGTCCTCTGGCAAGACGTGAACCCTAAGGCCTGATGTTTCCAGTTTGCAGGAAATACTCTGTCCTCCTAAGAATTCATTCATTCATTCTGCAGATGTTTTATTGAGCAGCTATCATGCTGGGTGCTGAGGAATTTGCTAGTAGATACTTGGTCTCTGTCTCTGTGGAGCTTATAGTCTAGTGGGGGTCCAATTATGGATAAAAGGAGTTTCAGTTACTCTTGGTCATTCTGGTCACTCATCCAACCCTGGGCTCTCCCCAAGGCGAGCAGACCTGAATGGCAACAACATGGAGACAGTGATTGGGCATGGGCTGAAGACTACCGATGGGCTGGCAGTGGACTGGGTGGCCAGGAACCTGTACTGGACAGATACAGGCCGAAATACCATCGAGGCATCAAGGCTGGATGGTTCCTGCCGCAAAGTTCTAATCAACAACAGCCTGGATGAGCCCCGGGCCATTGCTGTTTTCCCCAGGAAGGGGTAAGTTTATGGCCAATAGAAAAGAGATCCAGGGAAGAAAGGGTCTTGTAAGAGGCCTCGGAAGAGTGCCTATATTTTAGTGGTCTTGGTGTGTCCCCATAGTCTGTCAGCTTCTGGCAGACTATGCCTTGGTGACAATGGCACTATTGTGTCTCAGGTACCTCTTCTGGACAGACTGGGGCCACATTGCCAAGATTGAACGGGCAAATCTGGATGGTTCCGACCGGAAGGTACTCATCAACACAGACCTGGGTTGGCCCAATGGCCTTACCTTGGACTATGATACCCGAAGGTAGGAATCCTGCTCCAAATAGCCTCCTGGAAATTGGGTGGAGACTGAAGTAGGGAAAATGAAAAGATGGAAAGCCCCTGGAGGGTGGGAAGAGGAAGCAGTGAGAAGAGGGAACATACTCTTGGAGCAGGGGCTACTAAAGCCAGCTCCTTAGATGGCTTGTGTCTGCCTGGTTCTCGTGTTTTTAATTTGAGGGCCTTTAACAGAGTGTGTCCTCTGCCTGGACCATAAGACCCACTTCCCCGTCTATTCAACAGCTGTTCTTGTATTTGTTACTCATCCAATCCTGTGGACACTGGAATTTGCAATACCTGGTCTAGATTTTAAAAAATGCTGGAGGGCAGGAAGGAGAGGGGAAAAAGGCTCTGAAGCAGTCTGTTCCCCTTCCTAAAGAAAGGAAAGGGATCAAGGTCGCCTGGAGAGTTGGCAGAGTGCCCTCTTAACTTTAACCTTGGTAAGGGCCATGTTGACTGAACTCTCTTCTTGAAGACCATTTGTAAGAATTTGGCCTAAGATTTTTGGGTAGAGATCAAAGGGTGATCAAGTTGCCGAAGATGAGGCTGGCAGAGGCCCCTCTGAAGTCACTAGCCTTTCTGTGCCTCCTAAGAACAGCCCTGGCCTCCCAACTTCCCTCTTTGGCTTTGGGACTTAGAGTAGCCTCTCATCACAGGTACTTCTTGATGGCTGGCAGCACCTGCCAGTTCAGCTCTGGAGGACAAAGACAGGTCCTGAGAGAGAAGAGCTGGGCTCCTGGGGAAGCATTTGGAGCAGCCACTGTTCTTTCTTCTTCACAGGATCTACTGGGTAGATGCACATTTGGACCGGATTGAGAGCGCTGACCTCAATGGGAAGCTGCGGCAGGTCTTGGTCAGCCATGTGTCCCACCCCTTTGCCCTCACACAGGTACTGGCTCAGGAGAGAGGTAACTAAACCTCCTTGACTGTGTGTTTCCCTGGGGTTCTAAGCCTCCAAGTGCCTTGCTATTCCTGCTGCACCCCTTCTATGTTCAAACAGTGGTGCACAGAATCAGCTGGGAAGCTTGTTAAAATTGCAGGCTCATGGGTCCTGGCTATAGAGAATCTGCTTGGTCCTCACAAAGGACAAAGGATTGGGCCCAGGAATATGCATTTTAATAAGCTACACCATTGAGCCTAACATTGTGGTCCCAGCATTGGAGCTCAGGCAGCTCTTATGTAGTGGTTAAAAAACAGAGTTTGGGGATTGGGAATGTGGCTCAAGCGGTAGCGCGCTCGCCTGGCATGCGTGGGGCGCTGGGTTCAATCCTCAGCACCACACACAAATAAAATAAAGATGCTGGGGCTGGGGATGTGGCTCAAGCAGTAGCGCGCTTGCCTGGCATGCGTGTGGCCCGGGTTCGATCCTCAGCATACAAACAAAGATGTTGTGTCCGTCGAAAACTAAAAAATAAATATTAAAATTCTCTCTCGCTCTCTCCTCTCTCAAAACAAACAAACAAACAAAAAAACAGAGTTTGGAAGCCTCCAGCCGTCAGTGTGTGCTGCGTACCTTCAATGAGCCAAATACCTGAGTTCAGTTTCCTGTCTGTATTATTAAACAATGCAACTTTGAGCAAGGAACTGAATCTCTCTGAGCTTCAGTTACCTAAAAAATAAATCAATTTAATAATAGTATCCCCCTAATATATACACAGGACATTAGCACAGTGCCTGGCACACTCACTGCATATTATCTCTAATCATCTTGTTTATTTTTAACTGCCATTTTTGAGAATTGTTACACTGTAAGATAATTTGGAGAAAAAAGATCTACCAGTCTTAGGCTAAATAGGGATTCTTAGTCATTTAAAATATTTTCCCTTTTTGACAAATACCATTTCCTTGTATTGTTTCTTTCTTTCTGATTTTCTTTCTTTCCTGGGAATTGAACCCAGGACCTCAGGCATGCTCTGCCACTCAACTACACCCCACCCCCAGCCCTGTATTTTGTATTGTATTCCATCAGCCAAAAAGATTTTGTCTGGCTTTACTTAACGATAGGCTAATATTGATAGTTTTTTCAATCTACAAACTTCCCCTGGAGTTTCTACTGTTAGACTGCTGGGTGGGAGTCTTTCTTCTTTGCCCTTCCCCACTCGTGGTTGAGAATTTCACCATCAGTGCATTAGAAAGAGTCTGCAGAGGAAGTAAGCAGAGGATTTGGGTCAGGCCTTTGAGCAAAAGGTCCAAGAGAACAAGTTGACTCCTGTTTGTTGGGCAGGGAGCAATTCACACCAACTGACTGAGGACTGAGTGTGGATGCTACAGACTAGAGATTTGAGGCACATTTTTGTCCTTGAAGGACTTAATCAGGTGGGACAGGCAGACACATAAACTAATTACCATAAGAGGATCAAAACTCACATGTAGAAGTGACTGCAAGGTACAGAACGGTTTGGAGAACTGTGTGGATTGGAGGGGATTTCCTGGACATGCCATATCTGGGGACGCACAGACGTTGACCTAGTAGATGAGAGAGGAAGAGGGCATTTCAGCAGAAGGTGTAGCACATGCTGAGGCACAAAAGCTGCACTGAGGTCTGACTACTGAATGATATTTCCTCTTTTGGGTTCCATATTGAGTAGCAGGACAGGTGGATCTACTGGACAGACTGGCAGACCAAGTCCATCCAACGTGTTGACAAGTACTCAGGCCGCAACAAGGAGACAGTGTTGGCAAATGTGGAGGGACTCATGGACATCATCGTGGTTTCCCCTCAACGACAGACAGGTGGGCCCCTGGTACTGAGCCTGCTTCCTCACCATCAGTGGGATTAGCTGTTAGTGAACCAAGATAATTAGGAGCCCTGGAGAGCCTTTTAGCTCATATTTGAAGCTCTTAGATCTTTTCAATCCCTGTGACTGTTATTCCTTTCTTGCCCTACTGTTCCTGGGAGTGGAGTAATCCTACTTTTTGAGAAGTGTTAAATTGGGAGACCCAATTCTGTCCTAGACCAGACACTCATCTGCTTTCCCTCCAGGGACCAATGCCTGTGGCGTGAACAATGGTGGTTGTACCCACCTCTGCTTTGCCAGAACCTCAGACTTTGTGTGTGCCTGTCCTGATGAGCCTGATAGCCGGCCCTGCTCCCTTGGTGAGTGTACTGAATGGCTCCTGGAACAGTAGGGCCCCTGGAAGGGCAGGGGATCACCAGCCTCGACTTTGTCCTTCTGGGTAGAATCCACCTTCCAAAGATTGTGGAGTGGAAAGACTGCCGGCAATGTGTTTAGGCTTTGGAATCATTCAGAGCTGAGTTTGTCTGACCTCTGGCATTTACTAGAAGATAATCCAGGTCTCTTGATTCTAGATCTCTGCCATGATAGGCTGTGCTTTACTCTATCTTCCTGATCCTTATGGGGCCATCCAGAACTATTAATTTTGAATCTAAATCCTTTTTATTTACAGAATCAAGTGAGGGTACCTGAGATTAGGGAAACTAAAAAATTGCTTTATCAAGTCTTCCAGCTGCTACTCTTAAGACAATCTGTAGAGGCTTTGGACTCCAGTGGCCTATTCTCATTCTCTTTTCTCTCCAGTACCTGGTCTGGTGCCCCCAGCTCCCAAGGCTACCAGCATGAGTGAAAAGAGCCCCGTGCTGCCTAACACCCTGCCCACCACCTTGCATTCTTCTACCACCAGGACCCGTATATCTCTGGAAGAAGTGGAAGGCAGGTAAGTAGGGTTAGTACAGGATTGAGGGCCCTTTGATTTATGTCACCAAGACTTACTAGCATTAGACCATTATGCCAGCAGAATTAGACCATAATACCAGAAGATGGGAGGAAGATCACATTAACCACCAGTCTCCACTATTTAGGACAATTTAGACTTGTAGATTTTGCAAATGATTCCCTTTGTAGCTCTGAGGGCAAGAAGCTTTAAGAACAGCTTTCAAGAGAAATCACTTGGGAAGAGTCTTGCACATGCATTCCTCCTTCCTCCTCTGTCTCTGTGACACTTGCTCTTGTGTCACGTTTAGTATTTGATCTCATTGTACAGTGATCTCTGAGCTGTGTAGCTTTATGACTTGGAACAAAAAGTTTTCCCAGAGGTATGGTGGCCTTAGCTTATAATGACCCTAGCACTCAAACATATATGCATTTGTGTACACCATACACACCATTATTAAATAAGCAAATATAACTATACACAGGGCTAACATCAAGTATAAAATATTTCATTAAATTGAAAGTGCTATCAGTTATATAATTCATTCTGATTTGAGAAATTAGACTAAAAACATGAATAGCAGCAATTATTAGATACCACTAAATCCCATTTCTTACTTCAGAGATGTTAGAATATAGGAAACAAGGCACATCTTAAAATTGATGTGATAGGATGTTACACTCAATCTAGAGAAATTCTTCAGCATTTTTATTTATTTATTTTTAAAAAGCCTGAGGGGAGGGAAGGGAAGCAGGGGCATAAGGGTAGGAAAGACAGTGGAATGAGAAGGACATCATTACCCTAAGTACATGTATGAAAACACGAATGGTATGACTCTACTTTGTGTTCAACCAAAAACATGAAAAATTGTGCTCTATTTGTGTAGTATGAATTGAATTGCATTCTCCTGTCATATATAAACTAATTAGAATAAATAAAATAAATTTTAAAAAATAAATGAAAAATATTTTTTAAAGTCTGGAAAAACAGATTGGAATAAAGAAATAAGTCCCTGTATACCTGTGTGGAATTACTCTTCATAATTTGATATTTATCTTTTCAGACATTTTTCTAATTAGAACAATTTTTCTTCACTGAAATATTCTGATGTCTTTATTTTATATCAATTATAGCTTAAAATGTAATTGACACTTAATTTCAATTCTGAAAGCAGAAGCATACTAGTTCCAAATAAGTACTCTAAACTTAATGTCTCCCAAGTTTTAAGATTTGCACATGATCAAGCACATATATTGTATGCCCCTCTCTCCATTTGTAGTACAGTTTGTAATGAAAAGCAAATGCCTGAGGATAAACATATAGCTTTCTTACTATCTTTGAGGTTCTGTCAGTCATTATTAATCTTGGATTTTCTTTGGTCCTTTTGGTTTTGTTTTTAAGTGCTGGGGATTGAACCCCAGGACCTCACCCATGCTAGGCAAGTACTCCGCCCCTGATGTATCCCACCAGCCCCTAGGTTTATTTGGGACATTTCTGACCTCTCCTCAGACCTTTCCTTAATGTAGGAGTACCATTTGAAGATTCAATGCCTCTTGGCTTCAGATGTTCTTGCAAATTTCTCCAGGCTTGAAAGAGATACCTTTAGTTGGCTGCTAATAATACCCCACAAAGCAGTTACCTTCTGAGCATTTTAGATTTGTTATCTGAGTGCTCCCTCTGGATGTTTTGTATTTTCCCTTATGACAGAACAAAGAGGAAACAAATATGTGTGTGGGGGGGGGTAAATATATTTTAAACCTTGAAATATGTGAATCTTGTGATAATCCTTAACCAATCAGATCTGCCTGGCTAGCAGCTGCTTCCCACTCATCCTGGTAGTTTAAGAAAGCCTAGAATTGCTCACCTTAGTAATCTTTCTGCAGATTTCCAGTTCACTCTCAAACTGGAAAAAACATTTAAACATAGTTTATCCACTGGCTGGAAAATAATAAGTCACATCGATTTCTCTATTTTCTGGTCCTGCCTCTCTATGCTTCTGTATCTCCCACCTGTTACCTTCTCATACCTCTCCCCACTTTCCTGGAGGAAGGAGAGATTTTATTTGCATAAAAATAATCCTCATTTCAGTTTTCTCTGCCCCACAGATGCTCTGAAAATGATGCCCGGCTAGGCCTCTGTGCACATTCCAATCAGGCCATTCCTGCTGTTCCAGGTAAGCCCTGAATACCCAACTGTTTTGACAGAGAAGATTTAAGGAATCTAAGTGTCTACTGGTATGTTCCATAACCTTCATGGGGCCTCTCATGAGGTTGATGAACTCTTCATAGAGTAGATTATAGATTATAATTAAAGCACTTATAGTGTGCTTTACATATGCCAGGCATTTGGTAAGCCATATATATGCCATATATATGTATGTGTGAATACAGTAGCCCTCCTTTTCCGTGGGGGATACATTCCAGGACCACCAGTGGATGTCTGAAACCTTGAGTAGTATTGAACCCCACATATACTAAGTTTTTTCTTATACATACATGATAAATTATACCTATGATAAATTAGGCACAGTAAAAGATTGACAGTTAACTAATAATAAGATAATTATAAAACATACTATAATAAATGTTATGTGATTGTGTTATCTCTCTCTCTCCCCAAAATATCATACATTCTCATTGACTGTAGTAATATTTTTGGGCTGTGGTTGCCTGTTGGTAACTGAAACTGTGGAAAGTGAAACCAGGTATCAGGCAAGGCTAACTCTAAGAGTATACACTATCATTCAATCTCCACCAGCCCCATGAGCAATTTAGGATTCATATTTGAGTAATGAGAAAACACAGGCTTAGACATTAAACATCTTGCCTTTAAGTCATGTAACTAACAAGAGGTAGAACTGAGTTTGGAGATGCTGGCTGAATTATAGTTTTCTTTTCAGCCTTCTCACCCACCTCTTATGGCTCTCATCTGAGAACGAGGCCCTCAGTATTCTCATATGGTATGGGATTCCACACATACAAAAGCCCTTCGAGCCAGGAGCAGTGTGCGCACATGTCATTATAGTTACTTTGGGAGGCTGAGGTAGGAGGATCATTTGAGCCTAGGAATTTGGAGCCAACTTGGGCAACATAGCAAGATCCTGCCTCAAATAAAACAAAACAAAACAAAACAAAAACATATGGACCCAACCCTTTATCTTCCCACCCTTTGCACCAGCACCATCAGGATGATTATCAGTGGTCCCAGCCTAGTGTGTCTCTGTTCTTCCTAGGTGAAGGACTTCATATCAGTTATGCCATTGGTGGACTCCTCAGTATTCTGCTGATTTTGGTGGTGATTGCGGCTCTGATGCTATACAGGTAATCTAAACTTTGCTACAGGGCCTTGTGCTCTTTGGTCCTCATTAGCATATCTGGGATCTTCTGAAGCTCCACAATTCACTAAATCCTGCTCTGAGCAGCTTTGTTTCAAGGTTGGGTCCCTAAGCAGAAGGAAAAGATGGAAACCTGAATACTTACTCTTCTTCCCTGGTCACAGCTTATGCAGTTTCCTCATTTAATGACCACAGCAAATCTACCCTTGGGATTTTCATTATAGGCTAAGATGCTAAGATGCTTACTGTGTGACCCAAGGTCACACAGTAAGAGGCAAAGTGAACTAACTCTAGCATCTATGCTTTTCATAACCCACCTTACCTCAAACCATTGAAATTGGAAATCATTTCCATCTACTCAAACATAATTCTTTACTACAAAATTGGTTGATATAGTGGTGCTCAGATCATCTTAGGAAAGTAGAATATATCATTTTCAGTTTAAGATCTTATATGCAGGGCTGGGGTTGTAGTTCAGTGGTAGAGCACTTGCTTAGCATGTGTGAGGCACTAGGTTTGATTCTCAGCACTGCATAAAAATTTTTAAAAAAATAAAGGTACATTAGCAACTAAAAATATATTTAAAAAAAAAAATCTTATGTGCTTCTTTCTTTATATTTTCCCCAAAAAGCTTTAATACAGACCACAGCAAAAATGTTTGGATTTTACTGCTGCTGCTCCTAGTAATAATAAAACCACTTACCATTTTGTGGATATGTATCAATGTCACAACTTTATAACACAGGTATTATTCCTCACTTTATAGATGAGGATCTGAGACTCAGAAAGTTTAGATTATGTCTACCAAGATCCCAGGTAGTAAGTAACAGAGGTGGGATTGAAACTGACAACTGTCCTGATTCTAAAGTTCAGGTTATTAGTTATCCCCATTTCTGCGTAACAGAACTGAGTGACTTAAAATGACAGCCATTTATGGTCTCACAGTTTGTGTGGATCAAAAATGTGGATACGGCTTAGGTGCTTCTGCCTCAAGATCTCAATCCAGGTATCAATGAGGGTTGTGTTCTCATCTGAGGATTTGACTGTGGAAGGATTCCCTCCCAAGAACATCCATATGATTGTCGGCAGGATTTAGTTCTTCATTGGCTGTTGGTTGGAGGCCTCCTTCATTAGTCCCTTGCCTTTTGGATCTTTCTATAGAACAATTTACACCATGGTAGGTTGCTCCCCTCAGAGCAAGAGCAAGAGAGAGCAATGGAGAGGGGAAATACAAACCCAAGAAGGGAGCTAGTTTCTTTGTAACCTAATGTAGTCTCCATCACTTTTGCATAATCTTTTCATTAGAAGCAAGTCACCAGGTCCAGCCTATATTCAATAGGAGAGGATTCAGAAGGGGTGAATACCAGGAGGCAGGGATCACCAGAACCTGTAGAAGCTGCCTCCCACATATAGGCTACAACTTCCCTAGGTTTTATCTCCACAAAAATATGAACTAAATTCTCATTTTTTTTCTCCTAAAGACACAAAAAATCCAAGTTCACTGATCCTGGAATGGGGAACCTCACCTACAGCAATCCCTCTTACCGAACTTCTACTCAGGAAGTAAAAATTGAAGCAATCCCAAAACCAGCCATGTACAATCAACTGTGCTATAAGAAAGAGGTAAAAATGGAAATTTATATTCAAGTTCTTTTCTGGGGGGAGGAGGAATTGTGCTCCAGTTGCCTGAATGGATTAGTAAGGGATACTAGGTGGCTCCTTCTACCATTTTGGAAGTTACAGTAACAGAAGAACTAGATATAATTTGGATTTCTGGAGAGATCTAGAATCTTTGAGGGATTTTAGAGCAAGATTAGAAAGATATCTTGGAAGATTTAGGTCTGAAAAAAATTAATATATTATCTCCCTACCAGGAAAGCTATTTCAGGAATCATAGGTTCTTTTCTTCCTAGAGTGTCATTCCCCTACAGTGAGGCTGTGTCCCTATGATACAAGGGAGCTCTCCTGGACAATGCCCAGAAAGACCAAGAGCTCTTAAACTCTCCCTTTTCTAACCTCTGATCCAAGGTGGTGGTCAAATCTAGGGTTGGGAAGGGCTGGTTTTTCATTATCTTTCCTCTTATCACAGGGTCTTCAGAGATTTCTCTAGAATTCTAAAAATTTATGTACTTAAAAAATTCCTATGTTACTTCAGTGGAAAATTATTTGCTGAATATTTAGTCAATAAAAATAGCCCCTTTCCACAAGGGATCTGCAGTAATCTGGGATATTGTTTTTCCTAGTCTGATATAACCTGTGTTTTTTTCTAAAATCCTGTAACCTTCATCAGAAATTATTCCTTATGCTGGATGTAGTGGCACATGCCTATAATCCCAGCGGCTTAGAAGGCTGAGGCAGGAGGATCACAAGTTCAAAGCTAGCCTCAGCAACTCAGTGAAGCTCTAACGAGACGTTGTCTCAAAATAAAATAAAAGGGCTGGGGATGTGTCTCAGTGGTTAAGCACTACTGGATTCAATCCTTTGTACCAAGAAAGAAAGTATTCCTTATAAAGACCCTTCTCTGGCTTGTCTCTGGGCCAAACCTGCTCTCATACCTGTAGGGCTCTCAGGCATAATGAATACACTTTATAAAGAAATCTTATGCTTTCTGGATCCATGAATTCCCATATTAGAAAATCTTCCGTTACAAAAGTTACAAAGGAGAACCTGTAAGAACAGCTTGCAGTTTTGGGAATGATAGACTCCTCCCCAGTTAATATGGCTGAAAGAAAGATTACTGAATACTCTTGGGTTCATGGAGTGATGGATGCTTCAGAAAAGAAGCACAATGAGGGCCACTGGTTAGAAATGAAAAATGGGGCTAGGTACAGAGCTCAGTAGTAAAGAGTTTGCTTAGTTCCATCCCCAGTACCAATCCTCACCCCCTAAAAAAAAAAGAAACAAGAAAATAAAAATGATGTGATTCTTCTATTGTCTGCTTCTTCCTCAGCAGCTCTTTCACCCCTCAGATAGCCTTTCACCCTTTCTCTTCTGATTTCCTCTTGATTTCAGGTACCTGTTGCTGTGTGTGTGTAGGAGGGAATGCTGTCCCCAGAATTACTAGTGTCATATGCTACTCCTCTCCCTGACTTACCCATTGTCTCTGTAATGAGAACTCTTAACACTAATTTCAGCTTGAAGGGTGTGCTGGGGTAAATGGGTGTCTCCATGTGTGCTTGTGTGCTATCTGTATCCCTTTGCATGACTGAGGGAACTGTCACTTCCAGAGGATAGGGACCATCATTAAAGCATCTAATACGTATCCTATTTAATGTAGGGGCTTAGTAACTATCTATGGAATTGAATTGTTAGTAATAGAAAGCAATGGTTGCAAAAATCTGAACACAGCAATATACCAGAACCCAAGCTGTGGCCCATTTACTCCTGGCAGTGAGAGCATGTTGATTGGTATCCTCAGAAACCAAGAAAAAAGGCTACCCTTTGAGGAATCCATAAAGGAGGAAGCCTGAGCAGAATTCAAGGCTATCCCTGGAATGAACCCAGGGCTCATGGGAGCAGCCCACAGTAACCTACCCCGAAAGGTTATAAGGTTATGGGGCCTCATCAATGAAAATATGATGATTTTCTAGAGCCCTCCTATTGTACCTCTCAAGTTTTCTCCTTAGCAAAATTAAGAAGAGATCATTAAGAACAAATTAGCATATATATAAAGTAGTTAAAATCCTGAATAAATGCATGTTGAATTGCTTTTGCCTATTACTTTTGATTATTTATATCAGCATGATGTCCCATTAATAAACCACAGTAAAAATGTAATAGTAGCTAACATGTTTTTAGTGCGACTTAGTCCAGCATCCTAACAATTGCATTTTGTGTATCACTTCATTTAACCCTCACAGTAATTGCTTGTGAGGTGCAGATACTGTTATTCTCCCCACACTGCAGATGTGGAAAATGAGTTTTAGAGATGTTAATTAATTTGTCCAAGGTGATATATCCAGTGAGTGGCTGATGCAGGACCGGAAGCCATCATTCTCCACCCTGTATGATAATGGTAATAATCATCATAGCTGCCCCTCTTCTTAGGTGAGGCTTCATATATTTGCTGTGATCACATTAGTTTGTGGAGTTTTCTGCTCTTCATGCCCATTTTTACCTCATTTACTTCCTTTCTACAAAGAGATCCTCTTTAGAGAGCCAACTGACTAACCATGTGTCCCTCCTCTCCACCCTAGGGTGGGCCTGACCACAACTACACCAAGGAGAAAATCAAGATTGTAGAAGGAATCTGCCTCCTCTCTGGGGATGATGCTGAGTGGGATGACCTCAAGCAGCTGCGCAGCTCCCGGGGGGGCCTTCTGCGGGATCATGTGTGCATGAAGACAGACACAGTGTCCATCCAGGCCAGCTCTGGCTCTCTGGATGACACGGAGACAGAGCAGCTACTGCAGGAAGAGCAGTCTGAATGTAGCAGCGTCCATACTGCAGCCACTCCAGAAAGACGGGGCTCTCTGCCAGACACGGGCTGGAAACATGAACGCAAGCTCTCCTCGGAGAGCCAGGTCTAAATGCCTGGGTTCTCTTCCCTGCCTGCCTGTCAGTATCCTCTAATGGACTTCCAGTCCTGTGCTCGCTTGTACAGCAGGCCTCCTTCCTGTGTGCTCATCCTCCTCCCACCCCATAACTTCTCCTAAGTCCTCCACCGGAGCTGTTTTCCACCTGAGTCCATAACTACCTGGCTACAAGAAATGAGGGCCCTTCTCAAGAATTTAAACCTGGATTTTACCATGAATCTCACCTCTTGTACTCCGTCCTGGGCCCCCTGAAACTTGGCTCAGTAACAATTCCTTGCAGGGTAGAGCTCCGCCTACCTTTCCCCTGGTACCCTTAGTGACTGCCCCACAGCACCAGTGGAGCTGATGATGCAAGACTGTCCTCTCGCCCATCACAGCTAGCATGACGGCTTCTCAGAGAACTTGCCCACCAGGGGCTGGGGCAGGGGGTCATGGGTAAAGAGAGATGGACAGAGACTAGAAGAAGAAGGAAGAATCAGCCCAGCTGGTCTGGGCATCCTGGGAAACCTCCACCTTTGGGGGTTGGTAATATGAAAAAGCTTTGGGGATACTTGGGCTTGGGTGTCTTGTCCATTGCTGGCAGTGGACATCATTCTTGCCCAGGAGTCACTGCTTTGTCAGCTACAGATACTGGTGAGATATGGATGTGGCTCAAGCTGTTCTTCCTCCTGCTGGAATATCTGGAGTCTTTTCTACCTTAGATGACTGGGGGGTCCTCATCACATGGACACTGGCTGTTAGGAATTCTCTCCTGGTGCTGCCACTGGCCAATCCCTTTCCTAAGTCTTTTAAGTAATCAGGTTGTGAGCCAGTGGCTTCGTGAATGTTGGACCTGGGGGCTGGGTTTCTAAAATGTCTAAGCTCTGTCTAGACCAAACATAGCATCCCACCTAAATTTCACTGTCCTGCCACTCTCCCCAATTCTCTGGGATTCTTCAGGAAGATATCCTATAATGGTAGTCTTTCAAAGGACTGGAAGTTTTCATAAATGATCAGGAAGAGAATTAGAGACATGGGATACCCAGGGGCTAAAGAGAAATATCACGGGGTTGAACCTCCTCTGTTCCTTCTCAAGAATTCAGATATCTGAGTTCATGGACAGAGAGCCTGTGACTCTGAGGTGGTGGGGTTCCTATTCCAGAACTCTTCTCAGCTGTGACTTACTTTCCATGTTGAAATACCACCACTTGGTTCATGCTCATCTACATCAAGGGTATGTGTCTCAGACTTGTATCAAGGAATTGAGTTTTTGCTGCCCTGAAATTTCCCCCTAGTTCTTTACTTTTTGAGAGGCTTGGTTTGCTTTTTTCTGACTTAGCCTTGTGGCACAAGCAATCTCCAAAGTCCTGCACCGAGGAGGACTAAATGAAGATGCAAAGGGGTGAACATATAGTAGGCTGGTAGAAAGAAACAAATGAAGCCCTCCCAGCCCAGGGCAGACCCAGGCCTGTTCTCCCTAGGAATTAAAAGCAGCAGGAGAGGATGATGGGGCTGAAAATGGAAGGGAGGGGTTTTAGGAGAAGTTTCTTGATTTGAAACATCTCTTATGGTTACTAGTATTGAGAAATCAGGGGCCAAACTGTGGGTCAAAAGAGGACAAGATTAAATCTTTTCTAGTCAGTTCTTAAAAACAAACAAACTCTAGAGACAGATGCTGCGCCTTCAGCCATGCTCTCAGTAGCCAGCCCCAGGTCTGAACCTATACAAACAGCCAGGCCAGGCCAAGAAGGCTTTTCCAATGCATCAAGTGAAAAAGGTAAGGTGCCACTTCTGGGCGGAAATGGGGACATTTCCCAGGAAGTAAAAGAAGAAGCATTTGAGTCTTCATATTCTTAGTTGGGAAGGAGGAGAAAGTAGAAAAGTGGTCTTTTCTTGATTGGACAGGGGAAGGTTCTTATTGCACTTCGGCTGTTCAGAATGTAGAAGGACATTTTTGAGGAAATATCTATTTGAGCACTGATTACTCTGTAAAAAAGCAAAATCTCTCTGTCCTAAACTAATGGAAGTGATTGTCCTGCGCTCATGTGTAATGGTTTTAACGTTACTCACTGGAGAGATTGGACTTTCTGGAGTTATTTAACCACTATGTTCAGTATTTTAGGACTTTATGATAATTTAATATAAATTTAGCTTTTCTTAATTATCTTGCCTGGCTTGGAGTCGTGACTAATCCTACACCCGCTCTGTCTGGCAGACCCATGCTGTAGAAAACTTGCTTATCAACATCACCTCTGAGTTCTATGGGGGTTTGGGAACAGTGAAGAGCAATAAAGGGTATGAGGTTCCTGGTGGAGTTTCAGCTCCACTTGAGGAGACAAGTCCAGACAAGTTCTTCAACTTATAATACCCTTGTTTCTTCTAAAAGAGGGATGATAGGTTTCATCTGGAGTGCCAACTCATTAGTTGGTAGTAGCTGCCCTTCCACACCAATGGGAAGAGTGTCATGATCATTAGTGACATCTCTAGCACTGGAAGGAAATGTCATGGCATGTATACCATGCATCTTCTATTTCTATTTTAGATCTTTGAGGACTTCAGTGTCACAAAACTTTGATCTTGGCACCTTTTGTAGTTACTAAGAATGGAACACATGATAATTAAGATTCCATTTACTTGCCAGGAGTGGTGGCACACACCTGTAGTGTCAGTTACTCAGGAAGCTGAGCCATGAGGTTTGCAAGTTTGAGGCTAGCCTGGTGACAATGTCTCAAGATAAAAAATAAAAAGGGCTGGGGTATAGTTCAGTGGTAGAATACTTGCCTAGCATGTGCACGGCCCAGAGTTTGATCCCCAATACAAAAAAAAAATCCATTTATTTTAAAAAGCTGACATCTCATAGCTTATCCAGCATATCTTAAGACTAGAACTAGAAGTTAGGGATCCTTTCTGAGGTTCTCTAATACCCATCAGTGAAAATTGGGAATCATGCTAGTCTAAAGGCTAGGTTAGATTAGATTAGAATTTAATCTAGAATAGATTAGAATTTGATGTTAAGTCTCAATAGTTTATTTTCTAAACCTAAATCATTGATAAAATAATGCCCCATTCATTCATTCATTCATCCATCCATCCATCCATCTCTTACTATAGGCCAGGCCCATGCCTAAACAAAACAGTTTTACAGAGCTTAAAATCTAGCAGCATCACTAACACTCCCCCACCCCCTGCAAAAAAAAAAAAAAAAAAAAAAAGAAAAAGAAAAAGAATAAGAAGAAAGATAATGAAAGCAAGAAAGACAGAAGTCTCTCATATGTAAGTGACAAGAGATCTAAGTAGAAAGTATAATTTTCCCCAGTTTTGGCAAAAGCCAGGGTGCCAGAACAAAAACAAATGGAATAGTTCAAGGATAGCCATCTCTCTCACCCCCATTAATCTTTAAAAACAAAGCAAAACAAAAACAATAGAAAAGCGGGAATCTTGAGGATAAAGAATTTTGAGGATAAACCTAGGAAAACCAAGGATAAAACAAGGTCTGAGAATTCCTTGCCTGGTTCTCTGGATATAAACCTGAAACTGATAAGTAGGGAGAAGGTGGATCAAATTCTAAAAACACTAGACATATTTTCTCAAACAAAATTCAAAATAAAGTCACTGCCTTTCTGTGTCATCTGAACAAATTGTGGGACCTAAGATAAAAAGATCTCCAACCCACATGTTGACGCTGATCAGACCTTGGCCTGAAGAAGACTAAAATGCAATAATGAGCATGGTCAAGAGCTGGGTGTGCAAAAGTTCTAAGTGTAATGCACTGACACTCAAAGGTATCCAGCAAGCTTTGGTTCTCAGATTTCTATTTATGGGCATAATGAATGATAAATGAAATATGGCTAGGGATATAGCTCAGCAGTAGATGGCTTACCTAGCATGTGCAAGGCCCTGAGTTCAATGCTCACCCCTCCGCACATACCACAAAAAAGAAATAAGTGGTTGGGTCCTTTTCACAATGAGGAAAGTCTATGTCTTTTTTTTTTTTTTTTTTTTAATGGGAAGATGGCTCCACTTCCCATATGATCCACTTAATAGGATGTATGTTTGGGGATGTTTTAGGCAGTCTGTTGAAACAGTCCCTTACTCTCCTATTTATTTTCTCTCTGGACCATTCTCCTGTTAACTAGCCGGCAGAAACTAACAAAGCTCAGTATTGGCAATGGTATTATATCTAATCAAGGCTTGAATTCCCAACTTTGGACTACTTGGCTTGGTGTTAAAACAGACCCAGACAACCTAATAAAGGGTCTAAGTTGAAACCCAAGGCTAAGTTAGCCCCAAGCTGCACAATCTGCTTGTTTCATTTTATAGACAGAAAGCCAAGAACTCACATATCCTGTGCTTCCCAATGGTTTCCCTTCCATTCTTAAAAGCTTGTTGATAGCCTGCTAATGAGGTCCCTATCTCTCCCTACTGCCTCCTTCCTCTTTGGTGGGGCTGATGTTTCTGTGGTCAAAGTTCTTGGACAGCCTGCATTTTGGAGTCTATGGAAAATGGGGAAATGGCTATGAGAAAAAAAAAAAAAGGGCTCCTCATTCTTTCATTCAACCACTACCTATTAAATGCAATCAAATGCAAGTTAGGATAGGTTGGAGGCCAGTTACAGCACAAAACCCATAGCTATTTGAGCTCTGTATTAATATTACCACTGCTATCTGCTGGGAATAATGCAGAGGCACTTGGATTGCAAGGTGAAAGGAAGTTTCATCACTGAAGCTGCTCCTCTTAAGCTAGAAATATGGATCAATGTCCTATGGTAGGAAAGCTTCAACAAGACTGCAGCAGAAGATTGCAGTGGAATAAGTACCTGTCCCAACCCTAATAGTGGCTTTTTTTTTTAAAGAAATGTTTAACAGTTACTCAGCAGCCACAATGTTTGACATCAGTTTCCTGCTTCCAGTTGCAAGAATGCTGCGATCTCTAATGCCTGCTGACCCATCCTCCTTATGTAGAATTATTGAAAGAACCCTGGAATGACACACATGGCTCTAATAAATACACAGATAAATGCTCTTTGATAATAATCCTGGACTGTAAAAGATGACTGGCAAAGCTGGGCATGGTGGTGCATGCCTTTAATCCCAGCAACTCTGGAGGCTGAGGCAGGAGGATTGGAAGTTTGAAGCCAGCCTCTGCAACTCAGCAAGACCCTGTCTCAAAAAAAAAAAAAAAAAAAGGATTGGAGATGTAGCTGAGTGGTAAAGCACCTTTGTACTGGTTCAATCCCCAGTATGAAGAACAAATATTAATTGAACACCCACTATGGGCAAGGTACTATAATTAGGTTTCTATGAGGCCCTTTTCCTCCATTATCAGAATTCATCTCCCACTCCCTCTTTCTGCCTACTACTCTGTTCTAACTACACTGGTCTCCCTGTTTCTCAGACCTGTCAGACATGCTCCCAACATAGGGCCTTTGTATAGCCCTTCCCTTTGCCTGACACTTTCTTCCCCTAGATGTAGTCATGACTAACTACTTAGCCTTCTTCAGGTCTTTGTTCCAATCTCAGTGAAACCTAAACTAACCAACTCATTTAGAAAGTATATTCTTTCCTCCCCCATTTCTCTATCCTTTACCCTGTCTTATTTTTTCCCTGTTGCACATATTATCTAATAACATACTATATGTTATTTATGTATTGATTGTCTATGTCTCTTTACCATATGTGAGCTCCATGAGTGAAAGGAAGTTTTGTTTTGTTTTGTTTTGGTCTATTTGTTCACTGATTATTCCAAGTACCTAGAGCAGTCCTTCTATATACTAGGTACTTAATAAATATTTATTAAATGAATGAATAAATAAATGGATTCAGGCATCTAATGCTCATCTTCTACTAGGGCTACATCTCACTGGTTCAATACAAAAAAGGATTTTGCTGGGCTGGAGTTGTAGCTCAGTGGCAGAGTGCTTGTCTAGCATGTGTGAGGCACTGGGTTCGATCCTCAGCACCACATAAAAAATAAATAAATAAAATAAAAGCATTGTGTCCATCTACAACTAAAAATTATTAAAAAAAAAATTTGCCATCTTATTCTAAAATTCTCTAGGATCCAGGCTGCACACATCCTTTCTTAAGCAAATTACAGGTCACTATCACCCTCTCCTTAAATGTAATCTTCAGTATATTTCTAATGAAATTTAAATAAAGTAAACATGCCAATGGCCAATGACTGAAGAATACTATTTCTGTAGAGTCCTCGAAAGTTACCATTTAGTTTAGTTCCTCTCTTAAGTGTTAATCTGTCTTCATCTCCCATCTTTTCACTCTCTCCACTTTTTTTCCCCTTCTATAGTTTCATTCACTCTATAGAAATGATCCCCAGATATCTATCATTTGAGTCTTTATTTTCCCAGATTCCATCCTGAATTTTCTAGGCTTGCTTAGAATTGGTTCCATCTGAATGTCTCATTAGTACCTAAAGTAAACAAGTCTGAAACTAAACTCTCTGCCTTCCCCTTGGGACAGCTTCTCTTGACTTTCTCCTTCCATTTGGGCAATAACTGCCCTCCCAGTCCCTAGGCTCAAATCCTGGTACTCTTTTTGACTCATCTTTCTAAATGGGACCCATCCTTGCCTTTGCACCTAATCTAATGGATTGCTAAATCCTTCATTCTTTCTTCAATCTATTCTCATCCTTTTTACTGCTGTTATCTCATATCAGATTCCAAATTGGGCTTTTAGCTCTAACTCATTTTTGATAATCAAGCTAATTAATTTTCCTAAAGTACAGTCCTGATTTTTGTCATTCTCTTGCTCAGAAACCTTCAGTAGCTCCCCACTAGCTATTTATTTAAAGTAGAAATTCTTTGTCTTGGTATCCAAGACCCTCCAAGATTTATTCCTAAATTTCTCAATTTGTATTCCACTGCTTCCCACCATGAATCTTGTCCTAAAATCAAATCCACGTATTCAATCCCATATATATAAAATGCACTTTCTGTCTCTTGATCTTGCTCTTTTTTTGTGTGTGCTACTAGACATTCTCCTTGCTCCATCTATTGAAAAAAAGTAACACCCTGATTGGAGGGAAAAACTTTTTTCCTACCTTTTCCTTCCTGCTGAATTCAATCCTTTTCAGTTTCTTATAATTCCAGGAATGTTCTAACTATTTTCAAGCATAAACACACATACATTTATAACTATATATATTAAATCATTCCACATGTGCTTTTCTGCAACTTGCCTCTTTTCAATTAAAAATTAAAATATGTGCACTTTTTACTCCAACACACATAAATTACTCTTTTTCCAAATGTTTCCTACAGGTGGACATGTGATTTCCAGGAGCTTCAGTAAACATTCTTGTGCACTTTTATTTGAATACTTGTATAGATTTGTACAATAAATGCCTAATAGTGGTATTACTGGCCAGAGATTCTGTAGATTTTACATTTTAGTAACTGCCAAATTGTCCTCCTAAAAGTTTTCACCAAAAGTTTGTTGTTCAGGGGATTGAACCCAGGGACACTGGACCACTGAGCAACATCTCCAGCCTTTTTATTTTGAGATGGGGGTCTCCCAAGTTGTGAGGCTGGCCTCCTCCAGTCCCTAGGATTACAGGTGTGCCCCACACCTTGCTGCACCAGTTATACTCTTACCAATAGAGCATCTATTTTTCCACCCAAAGATTTTGTTGAATCTTTTTATCCTTGTCAATTTGATCAAAACAAAACAAAAATCGTATTATTTAACTTTTACCCACCCCATTCCATCACTTAAAGTGTTTGTAAACTACATATCCTTTAAGTCTCCAAAGTTCATTTCTTTCATAGATCCTCTCCGTCAACTTTTTCCCTTTGATTAATATCCGTGGTTTTTCACTTATGTAGCTCTCATACTACTTTGAATTCTAGTGACTTGTCTATATGTTTTACTCATCCTATTACTGTAGATCGCAAAACTCCTTGGAAGTAAAGATCCAACCTTATAGAAACCTCGAAAGTACAGCTGATCCAGAATTTTGGAGACTGTATTAACCAAGCTTCTCATTATAATAAAAGGAGTATTAAGCATTTGCAGAATGCACTGCAGTTCATAAACTCCTGTCCCAGATATTCTATTTATTATACTAAATCCTTACATTAAGTTTGTAAGGAAAATATTGTTATTCCGTCTTACAGATGAGGAAGCTGAATTCCAGATTTACTGAGACAAGTGATTTGCTCAGAGCAGGTCAAAACTGGAACTCAGTGTCCTGGCTCCAGTGGAATCCACTGGAATCCAGTGTCACTGCTCTTTGCACTACTTCTCAGAAATCTCTCGTTTTCCCTCAGAACCTTAACTGCACAATCGACATTTGGTGAATTCAGTGGCTCCAAAAAATAAAAAGTCATTTGTTGATAGCAACTGTAATTAAGAAAAACAAACATGCTGACGGCCCTGAATGCACACATCTACACACACCTTTAGCTTTTCTTTGGGGATGGTCAGCAGCTTTCCCTCCAGCCACAGGCTTCCCACTTGGAAAGGAAAGGCAGCATTGGGTTCACAGGAAAACGCGGCTGCGCGCGGCCCCTTTAAGACTGCAGGCGGCGCGTGCCCACAGTACTTTCAAATGGACCAATAAAAGGGCGATGGGCGGTCCGTCGAGGACCAATAAACAACGAGGACACTGCGGGGTGTGCGGCGGCCCAAGCGGTTTCAAACGGCTTAGAGAAGGCCCCTCGGTTCTGACCCGAAGAGGTGAGTGGGCGCTGGGCCAGACCCCCAGGCATAGGCCCGTGGATCTAGGAG